ATGATGCTATCTGTTCACTGAGTAAGGAAAATGAAGCCTTTAAATCGAGGGGGGTGGATGACGCTCGATTCCCAAGCGCTTCGCCTTCTCGGCTTTGGTTCGAGACTTTTGCCACAGACCTTGGCGGATCATGTTTAAACATCCCTCTCCCGTCGGTGTGGCTCGAAACTCCTAATGCTTGCGGAGTTAAACATTATGCTGACTGGCGAAGGCCCCGCGGACCCTACAAAGCCAGAGACCCAACATCGCGCTCAGATTTAAAACGTGTTTTTCACGAGCCCAATTCCCAGCGACATGCAGGTCATCACCGCGGGGTACAGTATGAACATCCCCGCTAAAATTACTGGCGCTAAACACGGAGCCCTTTTCCACGCGGATCTCGAGGGCCTTCGCGCCCACGAGTTCGTCGATGATGGTGTTACCGACGACCAGCCAATGCTGAACTCGCCGGTCTATGATCTCCTCTCCTCCCAGATGGGAGTGCACAAACTGAATTTGAATTTCTTCAGACGGCCTGGATCTCATCAGAAGTTGAATCATCGCCCAGAGGTCGGCGTCACGACCTCAAGGTTCCATGTACTTCTGCTCTCTCCAGCCTTTGAAGACGTTCTCGCAATCGGTCGCTTTCAAGATATGCCCAGCACTGCAATCGTCATGCAGCCAACCACAGAGACTTCAGCTCACCCCGAGGCAGGGGAACGGGCGAGGGAGTGGGAATGGCGTTTGGATCGCGGCATGTTCGTTGTCTCTGTGCCTGTGCGCGTGGGAGGCGGGGCGGAGGGAGGCCGACGGAGGGGGAAGGAGGAGGGGAGTCTGTAGGAGCCCGTGGAGAGGGCGGGGGCCGAGGCCGAGGCGGACGAGGTGCCCGAGGCGGAGGCCGACGCCAAGGAGGAGGCGCGCGCTGCAGCGGAGGCGGGGGAGGAGGCCGATCATGAGGATGGCAGCGATGACGAGGCCGAGGCCGAGGCGTGCGAGGAGGGCGAGGAGAAGGACGATGCCATGGAGGAGGGCGAGGACGAGGCCGAGGGGCAGGACGTCGGCAAGGCGGGGGCCGGCGCCGGGGAGCAGGCCGGCGAGGCGGAGGCGCGGGCAGAGGACGTGGCCATGGAGGAGGCAGAGGGGGCCGAGGCGGCTGCAGCGGCCGCGGAGGCCGAGGTGGCGGCCACGGAGAGGGCTGCCGAGGCGGAGGTGCCCGAGGAGGCCCAGGAGGTGGTGGGGGGGGAGGGGCACGGCGATCCACGTCATGGAGTCCCCGGGAGGTCTGGACCCCCCTTCTCGTGGGGCGGGCACACCCTGACCTGCCAGAGTGCCAGAAGATAGCCCTCTCCAGAGCTACAAACCTGTCTGGACTGCCGAAGACCTCGACAGGAACTTGGACGTCGGCGTCCTGGTGCTGTCTCTTAGCCCTCCTGGAAGGTCAGGGTTCGTCCGCCTAGGAGTCGTCTTATTCGACGGTTTTGTGGCGGTCCTGCGGGGCCTGGTGGCCCAGACGTCCTCCGAGCTGATTTGTTCCCAACCATCCTGTGGTGTTGGGTCCTCGTTTTGAAGAGACAGCGCCCCGCGTCTCCCTCCTTCCTTCCTCCTCCTCCCCCTCCTCCCTCCCCCTCCCTCCTCCCCCTCCTTGCCTGTGCTCTCGGCACACCTCTCACACGCTTCGTAGCCCCATAAGGAGCTCAACCGAAGGCCCCAGCGGCTGCTCTCGCATGCGTTTCCTCCACCCTGGGCAGCGCTTCGTGGCCCCATATGGAACTCCACCGAAGGCCACAGTGGCTGCTCTCGCATGCGTTTCCCCCACCCTGGGCAGCGTTTCGTGGCCCCACAGGGAGCTCCACCGAAGGCCCCAGTGGCTGCTCTCGCATGCGTTTCCCCCGCCCTGGGCAGCGTTTCGTGGCTCCATAGGGAGCTCCACCGAAGGCCCCAGTGGCTGCTCTCGCATGCGTTTCCCCCACCCAGGGCAGCGCTTCGTGGCCCCATAGGGAGCTCCACCGAAGGCCCCAGTGGCTGCTCTCGCATGCGTTTCCCCCACCCAGGGCAGCGTTTCGTGGCCCCAAATGGAGCTCCACCGAAGGCCCCAGTGGCTGCTCTCGCATGCGTTTCCCCCACCCAGGGCAGCGCTTCGTGGCCCCATATGGAGCTCCACCGAAGGCACCAGTGGCTGCTCTCGCATGCGTTTCCCCCGCCCTGGCTGGGCAGCGTTTCGTGGCCTCATAAGGAACTCCACCGAAGGCCCCAGTGGCTGCTCTCGCATGCGTTTCCCCCGCCCAGGGCAGCGGTTCGTGGCCCCATAGGGAGGTCCACCGAAGGCCCCAGCGGCTGCTCTCGCATGCGTTTCCCCCACCCTGGGCAGCGCTTCGTGGCCCCATAGGGATCTCCACCGAAGGCCCCAGTGGCTGCTCTCGCATGCGTTTCCCCCGCCCTGGGCAGCGCTTCGTAGCCCCATAGGGAGCTCCATCGAAGGGCTCCGTGGCGCAGTTCTCATGTGCTTCCCCCACCCTGGGCAGCGCTTCGTGGCCCCATAGGGAACTCCACCGAAGGCCCCAGCGGCTGCTCTCGCACGCGGGGCAGCGCTTCGTGGCCCCATAGGGAGCTCCACCGAAGGCGCCAGTGGCTGCTCTCGCATGCGTTCCCCCCGCCCAGGGCAGCGTTTCGTGGCCCCATAGGGAGCTCCACCGAAGGCCCCAGCGGCTGCTCTCGCATGCGTTTCCTCCACCCTGGGCAGCGCTTCGTGGCCCCATATGGAACTCCACCGAAGGCCGCCGTGGCGCAGTTCGCATGCGGTTCGCCCACCCTGGGCAGCGCTTCGTGGCCCCATAGGGAGCTCCCATAGGGAGCTCCACCGAAGGCCCCAGTGGCTGCTCTCGCATGCGTTTCCCCCACCCTGGGCAGCGCTTCGTGGCCCCATAGGGAGCTCCACCGAAGGCCCCAGTGGCTGCTCTCGCATGCGTTTCCCCCACCCTGGGCAGCGCTTCGTGGCCCCATAGGGAGCTCCACCGAAGGCCCCAGTGGTTGCTCTCGCATGCGTTTCCCCTACCCTGGGCAGCGCTTCGTGGCCCCATAGGGAGCTCCCATAAGGGATCTCCACCGAAGGCCACAGTGGCTGCTCTCGCATGCGTTTCCCCCACCCTGGACAGCGCTTCGTGGCCCCATAGGGAGCTCCACCGAAGGCCCCAGTGGCTTGCTCTCGCATGCGTTTCCCCACCCTGGCAGCGCTTTCGTGGCCCCATAGGGAGCTCCCAGAGGGAGCTCCACCGAAGGCCCAGTGGTGCTCTCGCATTGCGTTCCCCCACCTGGGGCCAGCGCTTCGTGGCCCCATAGGGATCGCCACCGAAGTGCCCCAGTGGCTGCTCTCGCCATGCGCTTCCCCCACCCTGGGCAGCGCCTTCGTTGCTCCATTCGGGAGCCCCCCTAGGGAGCTCCACCGAAGGCCCCAGTGGTTGCTCTCGCATGCGTTTCCCCCACCCCGGGCAGCGTTTCGTAGCCCCATAGGGAGCTCCACCGAAGGCCCCAGCGGTTGCTCTCGCATGCGTTTCCCCCACCCTGGGCAGCGTTTCGTGGCCCCATAGGGCTCTCCCCGGAAGGCCCCAGGCTGCTCTCGCAGCGTTCCCCCATGGGCAGCGCTTCGTGGCCCCATAGGGAGCTACCATGGGAGCTCCACCGAAGGCCCCAGTGGCTGCTCTCGCATGCGTTTCCCCCACCCTGGGCAGCGCTTCGTGGCCCCATAGGGAGCTCCACCGAAGGCCGCAGTGGCTGCTCTCGCATGCGTTTCCCCCACCCTGGGCAGCGCTTCGTGGCCCCATAGGGAGCTCCACCGAAGGCCCCAGTGGCTGCTCTCGTATGCGTTTCCCCCACCCTGGGCAGCGTTTCGTGGCCCCATAGGGAGCTCCACCGAAGGCCCCAGTGGCTGCTCTCGCATGCGTTTCCCCCATCCAGGGCAGCGGTTCGTGGCCCCATAGGGAGCTCCACCGAAAGCGGCACCCACGACGCGTTACGAAGAATTGCTTATGGTTGGGTCCTTCGCCAGGATAATTTTTCCATCCGCGGCCCCAGAGGTCCCGACCCCTCCCCAGGAGTTGGTTCTTCGAAGAACCAGCTCCGAAGGCCTGAGAGCAATTAGCCCCCCAAAAAACGCCCTCTGCGAAGCATCTGCAACTCCGGGATCTCAGGGTTACCCAGACACCCTCCGATTGGACTTTCTCACGCCGCGGCTCCACAGGTCCCGACCCCTCCCCGTGTATGCCTCTTTGCATGGCCAACAGCCTCCCGTCGCGCTCCTTCCGCAGCGCTCCCTCGTCGCTCACGTGGTGCGCCGGCTCCGCTGTGCTCGCCCCTCTCCGCGGAGGCGGCGGCGACCGGGGCCCAGCGGGGGCCCCCGCAGGCCGAAGACCAGCAAGCACTGCAGCTCAGCCGCGCGCAGAGGGGGGCGGGGGGAGGGGGGAGGGCTTCTGAGAAGCACCCCTGCTTCTTAGGAGGCGCGGGCCTCGTCTGCAGGTGCAAGGCCGGCGCCCTCTGAGAAGCAGCCTCCTCTTCTTTTCTTTTTTCCTTCCTTTTCTGTCTTTTTTTTTTTTTTCTTTTCCTTTTTTTCTGTTCTTTTTTTTTTTTTTTTTTCTTTCTTCTTTTTTCTTTTTTTTTCAATCCAAGAAGCCCTCCCCCCTCCCTCCACTCCCTTGTGCGCGCCGCCAAGTAGCTCGTGAGCGTCTCGTGGCCCGAGAGGGCCTGGGACCCAGACCTCCTCGCGTGGTGAGCAAAAATCACGACGGGAGGTTTTGCGCTATTTTCGGCTTCTGGGGGCCCTTCCCAGGCCTCGGGCTCGTCAACAAAAAGACTGAGGATGAAAAGCCAGTCCCAGCGAAAGGGTCCAGACCTCTGGGGGTCGACGCTGTGAAAAAATCATGACGTCGGGGGTCTGGGGATCTGGTGTGCGCCGGCTCCGCTGCTAGTCGGATGGGGCTATATAGGAGGAGGGTACACCCGTTCCAGAGCGTTCCGGCACGCTCCCAGAGCGTTCCGGGACGTGCTGAGAAGGCCGCGGTGCCCGAGACATTTTCCAGAGCCGCCAGATCTCAGAGATCCCCGATGTACAGTGGGGGCCCATGCCAAGAAACACCCTCTTACCTCCAGGGTGCCCTGGGTTTCTTGAGTTTTGATGGTTTTGCTGTGGAAAGCGCGACGTTCCCACACCAAGAGTCCAAAGGCGTCCCGGGGTCTGAGGGTTGGGTTTCTTGTGGAATGTTTCTTGTGGACTGGCCTCCACTGTATCCTCGCCCGATGTTATCCTTGTCCTCCTGGCGCTTCGCCTTAGCTGGCCCCCCTCCCCAGACCTCCAACGTCTCGAGAAGCTCGAGGCGGAGGTCTTTCGCAGTGGTCGGCGGGATGAAGAGCCGGCCCCGGGGAGACGGTCCAGCCCTCCAGGGGCCCCGTCTTGAGAAGCTCGGGTGGGTGGTCATGGGGGGTGGCCTATAAGCCCAGGCCCACTCGCGTGGTGAGCAAAACACAACGCGAGGTGCTTCGCCCTTTTCTGCCCTGGGGGCCCTCGCTGGGCCTCGGGACCGTCAAGAAGCGAGTCAGGATGAAAAACCGGTCCTGGGAAAAGGGTCCAGACCCCTAGGGGTCGACGTTATGAAAAATCGGGGCGGACGGTCGACGTTATGAAAAATCGGGAAGTCGTGATTGGGAATGGAGGGTGAACAAATAAGGGTCCCTCTGTCGGCCAGCAGGGGCCCAACAGGGTCCCCTTGCTTCTCTATTACTAATTTGAGCGTGCTGAGGGCCCGTTTCTTCCCCCCGTTTGCCCCCCCCCCCCCCCCCCCCCCCCCATTCCCTGAGAGCAGACGCTGCCAAAAAAGATGCAACATCGCAAACCATCACCTTCGGAGCCCCAGACCTCATCTGCCTGTGTCATCTTTCGAGCCCGATCTGTCTGCGAGGGCCCCGGGGCCCGACAGCAGCCAAAAGCGCCCTCTGCGAAACAGCTGCAACACCAGGATCTCAGGCTTGCCCAGGCATCCTCCGACCTGACTTTCTTCTCCACCCGCGGCCGCCAGAGGTCCCGACCCCTCGCCCGGGGGTGGCTGTCCATCCCGCGCAGCCGTTCTTCAGGGCCCTTCGGGCCCGACCACGGGGCCCGAGGAGGCCGCAAGTCGAGGAGACCGCCGGATTCACCACACCAGATCCCCAGACAGCGGGCTGCTCCAATGTTTTCGCTGCGGCGTGGGCCCTGGAGGCCCGGACCACTTCCCCGGGGCCAGTTTCTCGTCCTGAGTCATGGTTTGACACTCCCGAGGCCCGGCGAGGGCCCCCGGAGGCCGAAAATTGCCCAAACCCCGCTGCTTCTCGGCGCGTCGGATCCCGGGGTCCTCGGAGCTCTGGGCCGCCCCCCGCCCGAGATTTTGCTCGAGGTTCGTCGGCCGTCGGGGCCCCCGCGGAGGCGGCGGCGGGGCGGCCCGCAGCCGCGCGTAGCTGCCGGGCGGCCGGCGGGGCGCGCGGCGAGGCGCGCGGCGCCGCGCCGGCGGGGGCGGCGGGCCGCCGGCCGCAGAGGAGCCACGGCCGACGACGACGGAGGCGGCGGCGACGACGACGACGACGGCGACGACGACGACGACGACGACCGACGACGACGACGACGACGACGACGACGACCGACGACGACGACCGACCGACGACGACGACCGACGACGACGACGACGACGACGACGACGACGACGACGGCGGCGGCGGCGGCGGCGGCGGCGGCGGCGGCGGCGGCGACGACGACGACGACGACGACGACGACGACGACCGACGACTGCACCCCCTCGAGTCAGTCTCGTGGCGTCGGGTCTCGGAGCTCGGCGTGGCTTCTTCGCCTCCCGCATCGCGTGGCGAGACGGTCGCGACGGCAGGTCTTCGATCGCTCCCGGGCCGATGCGTCGGGTCTCGGATCTTGGCGTGGCTCCTTCGCCCCCCCCCCGCATCGCGTGGCGAGAAGGTCGCGACGGCAGGTCTTCGATCGCTCCCGGGCCCTCGCCGGGCCCCGGGGCGGGCCCCGAGGCAGGCGGCCTGGATCGCGGGCGCGCGCGCGCGAGGCCCGGGCGTCCGAGGGGCGCTGGCGCTGTGGCTTCTTCTTTGCTGCAGGCGGAGCGCCAGTCCTCGGCCGACGAGCTCTGTTCGAGTGTTCTCGAAGGTGCCAGAGCCTCGGGTGTCGAGGTCCAAATCGAAGCACCATTGCCAGATGGGAAAACATACAAATCCTCGGAGATCCAGACCCCCGCGGGCCATGCAGAAATCACGACGGGAGGTTTCTCGCTGTTTTCGGCCTTTGGGGGTCCTCACTGGGCCTCGGGACCGTCAAAAATTGACTCGGGTTGCGAAGCCGGTCCCAGGGAATGGTTTGAAGCTTCTGCGGGTCGACGTCATGAAAAAAAACATGACGTCGGGGGTCTGGGGTTCGCGTTGTTTCCTGACAGTTTCCTCGCCTCGGATGCTTCCTGGCAGCTGCGCCTCGCCGAGGGCGTTCTTTGGGTGCGAGAATCGTCTCGAACTGCCGCTGGAGGCCCGAGCTATGACCCGAAAACCCAGATCTCCGACGATGTATCTATGTATTTTTGCTCAATCCTTGCATTTTGCCTGGGGTTGGCCTCTGGGCCCGTTATCGGGTCCCAGGGCAGTCCAAAATTGATATGGGGCGGAAGCTGCCCTTGGGGAAGTCGGGGCCGCGCATTAAAACGACTACATCGTCGGTCGGGGTACGGACGTTTGTTCACTGTTTACCGCCCCCGGGGCACTCGCCAGTCCCCAGGACCGTCAAAACACAACTCAAGAAAAACACCAGCCCTGGGAAAAGGCTCGGGACATCGGGAACCCCGCATTGAGAGATTCGAGACGTCGAATGTCTGGGGAGGCCGGAGTGACCTTTTCGGTGCGGCTCACTGGGACCTCCCGATCGCTGAGTTTCGAACTGGAGGTCTAAAGAATCCCTTGGCATCGCTCGAACGTGTGCATTTTTCTCGGGAGGACCATCGAGGAGCCTCTTGGGCCATCTTGCGAAAACATACGCGCACGGAGCCGAAACATGCACAGGGAATGGAATTCCCCAGACATCCAGCTGCTCCAATGTTTTCGATGCGTGGGCCCCGGAGGTCCGGACCACTTCCCTATAGGGCCAGCTTTTCGTCCTGAATCGTTTTGTTGACGCTCCCGAGGCCCGGCGAGGGCCCCCAGAGGCCGAAAATTGCCCAAACCCCGCCGCTCCAGTTTGTTTTGGAGCGTCGGATCTCTGGGTCCGAGCGATGGCGAGATCCCCGCCCTGCCAGGTCGATTACAGGATCGGGCTTGAATAAGGAACATTTTCTTTTCAAAAGGGGCCCAGTCGGTCCTTTGGTTTGCATGCGTTCCGCTACCTCTTTGGCGGCGAGCCCCCCTGGTGTTCCTTCAGATTTTGGACGCGCGGGTCCGTTCCTTCGGACTTCGTAGACTTACTTGGGAAAAAGGGGCTTCGTTCCTTATTTATCGTTCCCTAGGTCAGGCCGAATCCTGTAGCGGATCGCCCTCTCCCGGTCTTCGAGGGGGTGCCGCGGCCGCAGGTTTTGGTTGCGGGCATGCGCCCGCCTGAGGTTTGGCCCTGGGCCAGGTCTTCTGAAGTCGGCGTCAACCCAGCATACTTATACTAGGTTCAAGTCGGGCCTGCCCTCTACAGGGGGAATATTCAAAAATAGCCAAAAAATACTCAGGGGACTTTTTGTAAAAGCATGTTTTATCATTTGGGGGCATTCGTTTAGTATTTTTCATTTGTCGTCCAAAATCCCCCTGTAGGAGGACAGGCCCGAGTTAATACTATTTGTGCGTCGCCCCCCCAGGGGCGCCGCGCGCACCGAGAAATCTTATAGCATATGCGTCGTGGCGGGCGCTTTCTGGCCACGCCGCTCGGGAAACGACATACTACAAGATGGGTATACTACATGTTCGGGTCGGACGCGCGCCTCCGAGGAGGACTTCTAGAATTAGTATGTCTCTGTGCGTCCCATGAAAAGGTTGCTCTCTGCGAAAGAAACCCAGATCTCCAACGTCTCGAGAATCTCGTGACGGAAGTCTGTCGCGGTTTTCGGCCTTGGGGGGGCCTCGCTGGGCCCCAGGACCGTCAAAAAGCGACTCGGGGTGAAGAGCCGGCCCCGGGGGGAAGGTCCAGGTCTCCGGGGAAGCCGTCCTGAGAAACCCACGACGCCGGATGTCTGTGAAGGGCATTCCCTTCACCCCGGACTGGAGGACGTCAATTCCACGCACCTACACCGATCGTGTCCAAGATTATCCTTGGCCCAGGCTCGGTGAAAACGGCCGCCTGGCTTGGCCAGGCGGGCATACATCTGCACACCGATCTTGGGCCAAGGGTGGGCCTGGCCAGGGTCCTGGTCGGTGCGCAGCTGGCGTCCTCCAGTGAACGCGACGCAGCAGCGGCTTGCGCGCGTGGGTCCGGTTCCGCCCCGCTGGCCCCTCTGAAGCTGCGCACCGAAGGGCACCCTTCTGGCCTCTAGGGTAGTTCTTGCGCGCAGCCGGCAGGAGCGAGGCGGAGGCCGAGGAATCGGGGGACGCCAATTGCAGTCTTCCTTCTCCTCCTCCTCCTCCTCCTCCTCCTCCTCCTCCTCCCTCCTCCTCCTCCCTCCTCCTCCTCCTCCTCCTTCTCCTCCTCCTCCTCCTCCTCTTCTCTGCACCCCCTGATGGCCTCTCGGGGCACCTCGCCCCAGCCAGGACCGCCCTGGGCCCAGGATCGTCGCAGACGCTTGCCTGGCCGTGCCAGGAGTGAGGAACCGACTCTGGGCCCCAGGACGGGATTGGCCAGGGACGCTGCAGACGCACATGCGGTCAGCACCCAGTATAAGGACGCAGTTTGAGAGCAAGTGTGCCTTCGCATCCGTGTTTCTTCGGCCAACCCTTGGCCAGCTTCGATAGAAGCTCCAGGGGCCTTGCATTGTTGCCTTGTCACTACTATCGCCTTGGACTGCAGTTGGCGTCCTCCTGAAGGAAGAGGAGG